AAGATGAATAAAAACACTCAAAGCTTAAACTATCAACAAGCAGAAACAATGAAATAAAGAAATATTTCAGAAGATTGGCTTATAAATGAAAGAAACATTCAAGGGAGCTTTATTAAAGAAACAACTAAAAAAGAAGAAGGTCACAAGAGAAAAACGAATAGAAAAAGAGAAGAAGGTCTATAGAAGAACTAAAGAAGAAATATAGAAAAAAGAAAAATGGAACAAGTCTTAGAAAAACTTAAAGAAGAAACAAGATCAAGAATACTTAAAGAAGATCAAAAAACCAAAAAGGTAACAAAAGAAGAATGAGAAAGAAGCTAAAGACAAATTAGATTCAAAAGAAGAAAGAAAATAGAAGAAAAAAAACAGATTCAAGTAAAAGAAGAACAGAAATTCGAAACTTTTGGAAGAATTAGAAAAAGAAAAAGAAAAGTCAAATAGAAAGAGATAACCTGATGGAAGAATCTTGACTAATAATACTAGAAAGCAACCAGGAAGAAATACAAAAGAATTAGAAAAAAAATATACAAGAAGGCAAAAAGAAATCAGAAGAAAAGAAGATTCTTGTTCTAAATCAATAATATAGTGATAAATCTTGTAGAAAAGTTTGAAAAAAAAGAAGAAAAAGGAAGAAACCTTACAAAACAAATACTGATAGTTAGATTAAAAGTGAAATTAGAAATTATAGTTTAAGAAAAAAGTTAGAAGAATTTAAAGATGTTGAGAGAAAGGAGAGTAATTTTGGTAATAAGATATAAAGTAGTTATAATGGGTTGTAATATCTATATTTAGAGAGTTGTAGTTATATAATTGTAATAACAATAATCTAGTATAAAGGTCACTATGGCAGATCGCATATAGGTATCTATAGAATAACTGGATGAGTTAAAACTTAAAAAATTAGACATTGAAGGATATATAGTCATTCAATGATATTTTTTTTTTTGTATAAAAACAAATCCAAATAAAGTTTTGGCATGACTGCTGAATATTAAAAAAAAAAAGAGATTCTGTAATTAAAAAGAATTTTTTAAGAAGAAAAGAGAATTTTCTAATAAAGAAGGTTCTGTAAATTCAATATTGAATTTTTTAAAGAGGAAATTTTCAGTATCAGGAAGAGCTTTTTCTTTGTAGTGTTTAATAATTTGTGATAAGGATATTTGTTAATCTTTAATAAGATTACAATATGTAATTATATGAGCCAAGAAGTGTGTATTAATCATTTTTTCTGTGATATATTCAATTGCTTTTTTTTTGGAAAAATTAGCAATATTATGATTCTCAGCAACAGTGTTGTGGTAGGTGTTTAGATATTAATAAAAGTAATAGCTTCAGTGTTTTTTGTTTAGTAAAACTTTGTTTTGTTTGCAAATAAATTCCTCTGCTTGATCAGTTAGCTCATCAAGTAATTTTGTAGGAATAGGTTTTGCAAAGCTTGCTTCATGTTTTCTATCAATTTGAAAGATTGAAGGATCAATTGTAGGTGTTTTCTAAATTTTACTATCTTTCTTTAGAAATTTATTATAAGATCATCTAAGAATCAATTTGAATAAAGCAGAGTAATCATGTTTACTCTCATGATTATAAGGAAATCTTTTGAGCTACATGTTAGTATATGAAAATTTAAGAGATTAATAGTTTCTGTTCATCATTCAGAGCTGTTAAGAGGTTCTAAAAAATCAGTTTAAGTTGGGAGAAATTTTTTGAGTTAGATGATAAATTGTTGTTTGATTCTATCCTTTAGAGTATTGTATACTTTTTGTTGATTTAATAGAGTAGAGAATTAATTATTATATATAGGAAAGAATTTTTTAAACCACTCATTAAAATGCTCAAGTGAGTTTTTGAGTGATAATATATTATAGACTTTTAGAAAAAGTAATTTAGGAATATTGAAAAGAAGTTGAATATTGAATTTTTTATCTGATTTGATTGTTAAATATTTTTTTCTTTGTCTGTAGATATTGTTGAAGAATTAATGTGAAACATTTAGAGATGAAGTTGAATTCTTCAGCAAATTTCTTGTAGTCAATTGAATAGTAGTTATCAGAGAGATAAAGATAGATACAAGCTAAATTAATACAGAATTATATTCAGTTTTTTGTTTTGTAAGCAGAGATTATTAGCTTTGATATGAAAATAGAACTATAGTTAAGTTTAGTAAAAAGAATAGTTGTAAATTTATGAATAAGTTTTTTCAAAGTATTTTCAAGTATATTGAAGAGAATAGTAGTATTAGGATTAATGTTTAGGTTGCTTTTGAATATAAAATTAGTTAAAAACTTTGGATGAACCCCAGCTATTATTCTAATAAGTTGTTTAAAAGTTGTTTTTAAGGCTTTTTGAGTTTAAGTAGCAGGTTTAGTTTCTTTTCTAGAATAAAAATCATGTAGATAGTTTTTAAGAAAGTTAAAAAGATTGTGGAAGAGAGTTGTTTGGAGTTTGGTATTTGCTTCCATATTTTTAGAAATTAGGAAGTTTGCAATCTAGTCAAAAGTTGGTGATGTTTTAGTAGATTTATTTGGAGTAGTTTTATCTGTATCCATTTGATCTTTATATTAATTATTATTTTCATCTTCAATTTAGTTTCTGAAATATTATCTTTAGATTCATTAGAATTAGAAGTAGGTAGTTTTGGAAAGATAGTTTAAAAGAGTAATTTTCTCTTTTGAAGTCATTTTAGCTATTTTTATAGCTATAAGTACTAATTTTTGTTTGAGCATTAATTATAAAGTTTGAGGTTTGATAGTGAGTTTAATATTTCAGAGTTTAGAAATATAGTTGCAGTGTAGTAAAAAGTTTTTAAAGATAATATATTATGTATAGTCAGATGCATATTTAGTGTCAATAAGATAAACACATAGGATAGTTTTTTGTTTACAGCACAAGCAAGTATAGTAGTGTTGTGAGTGAAGTGTAATTTCAGATGAAGCTGAGTTAGTATTAAAGTTTAGAAAAAGAATTTTGGGATTAGCAATTTGTTGTTATTATTGTTATTATTGTTGTTTTAAAATAGATGATATTTGTAGTTCATCTGTAATTCTGTTAAAATGTTTAGCAGAAATAAGTAGTGATATTTCTATAGAAGCTGTTTCTAGAACTGTTTGCACAGAGATTTTGTAGAATTAAGAGATGAAGTTTGTATAGTATTTGCTACATAAATATGTAGCAAGTTTAGATTAAGTAAGGACCTTAAAGTAATTATACTTTTTTGTTAGACTAGTATCATATATTTTGGAATTGATATCTACTGATAAGACTCGTAATTTGTCAGAATTAAGTTCAGTTATTCTGATATCATAATGGTCTCTGTTTAGAATAGTAGTAGTCAATATTGTAAGAGTCTGGTTCTTTAGTAATAAGTGAAAGCATGTTTTCAATATCTTAGAATTAAAGAGATAAAAGAAAGCTTTGAAATGAGCTAAATTTTGTTTTGTATAATATTACTCAGATAGTATTATACTTGTGACTTGTGTAACAAATATAGCTAGTATGACTGATATAGCTGAGGTAGTACATAATATAGTATATATAACTTTACTAAGAATAGTAAGGTTTTGTAATTCATATGCTAAAGTTAAAAATAGTAATTTAAAAATAAGTATAAGTATTTTTAAAAATTATAAATAATTGTTTATTTTTAGAATTTTGTCAGATTTGTAATTTGAATTACAAATCTTGTATGCAAGATAAATTTTGTACAAATTTGATAAGATCCAAATTTAGTAATCTGAAATTTATATTATAATTACAGTTTTGGCCAAAATTAGAAGAAGAATTAATTGTCAAAAAAGTAAGAAATTTTGAAGCAAAAATTATTTTTATGTGATTTAAAAGCTATTTGAGACACTAGAGAGCTCAATTTTTGTGCTAAAAAGATGATTTAGAGCTTGTTATGACCGGAAGAGGCTGGCCAACAACTTTAATTAAGAGCATAAAAGAAGTTTAGAAGCTAGTTTAAAAAATATTTTAAAATTCCGAAGCATTTAGTTTTCTAAGTATAACTCTGCTTAAAAGAAAACAAAAGTTATAAAACTAGGCTAATAGAATGTAAAAATATATGTAGAGCAAGTTTATTTAGAAGCACTTGCTTAGTTTACTTAATAAAATTTTAAGAAAATTTGGTTTTGTTGAAAAAATTTTTAGGAAAATTTAGTACAAAAGATCTACAGATTAAGTGCGCTAAAAAAATACTTTTTTAAAATAACAAAAAATATATAATAAATTAATAAAAATTTAGCAAATTTTAAATTTTAAATATAGATCTTTACTTTTATTATATAAAAAAGGTTACTATTTATTTTTACTATAAAACTATATATAAATTTAATTTACATAGTGCATTTAATACTCTTCTTTCATAATATTTATAAATAATAGAATAATAAAGTTTTTTTTTTTTTTTTTTTTTTTTTTTTTTTTTTTTTTTTTTTTTTTTATAATTAAGTTAAATGCAACTTACATAATAGTATCATATATAGAGATAATACTAAAAATAAATATATTAAAATATATTACTTAAGATATGATAAATAGTAATTAAATAAGTAATTTTAATTACAGTATTAGGATCAGAATTAGAGATACTTTGAGGATATTTATTAGATTAACATTATGCATATAATGCATACACTTCTCTTTTTTTAGTTCACAAGCAATCTTTTTTTTTATTATGAATTGATAAAGTATTCGCAAGTGATTATTTTTTCTTTTATTATTAATTAATAAAATATTTGCAAGTCTGACTTTTTTCACTTCCTCTCATGCAATAATAGTACATCATAAAATTTTTTTAATCTCTTCAAGAGTTTTTTTTTTTTACTTGCTCTTTTTTTTTTTTTTTTTCTTTTTTTTTTTTTTTTAATAAAATTATTATCAACTACAGGAAAAATGCTTAAAGGTAAGTTATAAGTATTTGTTGATGCCATATTATAATTTAAAATAATATTTGCATAGCATCGCCAAAGTTCTCTTTGTTCAGATAACATATAGAATATATCTTATAATCTATTTGTTTCTGGGTCAATTAATAGTTGAACATTTGAATCAGGATCTTTAGTATGCTCTTTTTCGAGATATTGAAGCAGTTTTGCAGCATTACTACTCTGTATTTTATGAATTTATCGAAACTTATATAAATAATTTTTTATATCATAATCTACTATAGTTGCTTCAGAAAACAATTCACAAAGCAACCTAATCTGAGAGAAGACATCAAAATTGCAAAGCATATAGCTTTCAATAAGATCTTTTATTTTTACAGTAAGCTTCTAGTATTGAATAGCAAAAATAGCATTTTTAGAACCAAAGGATAGTTATGTTCAAGATGCATAGATATCAATTTAATTATTATTTCATTATTAGATCCCTTACTTTTAGATGTATTAATAAGAAAAGGGTAATTGATTCTCTTTGATCCTTTATTTTATCGCTTTTCAGAGAGAGCAGTCTTATGTGAAATATATTTTCCAGAACGTTCACAATCCTATGTTTGTTGACACAAATTATGACTATTATCTACCTGTTTCTTCTTCAAAACAAAGTTATTTTGCTTTGCATAACACTCTAATATTTTTTGACATTCTTCTCAAGTCTCAAAAGTCTTTCTATTGTATAGTTCAACACGAACTTGAGGTAAGTACTCTAACTAGTGACTACTTGTACTTGTTGAATTGTCCTTAGTAATATCTTCTGGTTCTCTAATAGTTTCATTTTCAATGTCCAAACTTTTATTTGTTAGATCAAAAGCACTCTTATTGAGTAAATTTTTATTTGTTAAAGAATAAGTGTCCTTATCAGGTGAACTTTTATATGTTAAATCATAATTGTCTATATTATTAGATGGTAAACTTTTATATGTTAAATTATAATTATTCTTATTTGGTAGTGAGATTTCATATATTAAGTTATAAATGTTCACTTCAATTTCATTTGAGTAACTAGCAGGTAAAATATTTTCTAAACTAGTGAAAGGTTTCTGTACCATAATGTTTATATTAATGATAGGAAAAAAACTCTAAAAAAAAAAAAAGCAAATATATGCTAATATACTATGAGAGAAAGGAAACTGCGTCTTGTGAAAATACAAGAGAAAAAAAAAAACTCCTGGGTTGAATTGTATTTATTAAAAAAAAAAAAAAAAGAAAAAAAAAAAAAAAAAAGAGCAAGTAAAAAAAAAAACTCTTGAAGAGATTAAAAAAAATTTTATGATGTACTATTATTGCATGAGAGGAAGTGAAAAAAGTCAGACTTGCAAACAAAAAAATTATATTTGGTATTATTAAATTTATTACTAAAACAAAAAAAAA